AGGCTGGTTCCCAGTAACTCGAAAGCCTTGGGGGAAAAAATCCCCAAACTCAGCATCATGAATTCTATTCAACTTTAGAACTTTTGCTTATTTATTCAGCGATACATGTCCGCCCCCTCAGTGTCTCTTTAACAATGCAAAGACCCACCTCTAATTTTGTTTCTCTGTTAATACTGGTTAATATTCCGGGTTAATACTTTACAGCAGTATTTTTGAAGGGATTCATCCTGACACAGGTTAACCTAATCAGAAACTACACTGATGCCAATAGAGACGAAACATCAAGTTAACGTGTAGGATTTTATTTTTTTAAAATATTGGTATGATACTCTGGTATGAAATAAGGTGTAAAAATCTGCACGTATCACATTCATAAAAGCCACCAAATCCTATGTATCAGAAATACAAAAACAAAAGGATCTGGTTAGGTAACAATGATTGGAAACATTTATTCAGATGGAAAACGAACTAAGTGTGCAAGCTCTTGTGTCAATGTGAAAGGGTGTTCGGATCCCAATCGCCAGCCTTATCTCAAACCCACAAACTTCCACCCTGCTGATTACTGATAATATTTTATCATTTTACTCTTTTTAAAAAAATATTTTTATTGATTTCAGAGAGGAAGGGAGAAGGAGAGAGGGATAGAAACATCAATGATGAGAGAGAATCATGGATCGGCTGCCTCCTGCACACCCCACACAGGGGGGGGAGCCTGCAACCCGGGCATGTGCCCTGATGGGGAATCGAACCGTGACCTCCTGGTTCATAGGTAGATGCTCAACCAGTGAGCCACGCTGGCCAGGCTCATGTTTTAATTCTAAATCTTTTATTTTAAAATCCATGAAATATTTTCAGAAAAGGGTTTAAAATTATTAGCTTTCTTTTCTAAATGATTTTCTTTCCCATTTAGGTAATTCTAAATATGTTTTAAGGGGACATTTAAATCATATCAAGGCACTTGTGGAATAGGATTTGATTCACTTCTGGCCAACGACTGTGGGTAAGATAAAAAATGAATGTGTTCTCATAGATCTTCAATGTAAATGAACACAAGTGTCTTGAATACAAGTTGAACGGGCCACGCAAAATCTCACCAGTTTTAATAATAAAAGTATAGAAAGTAGACTACAGCAGCTGTATTTTAGAGCTGGAAGAGAGAATAACTTAGCTTAGTCAATGAATGGACAGAACCACTTCTCCAGGAAGAAGGCTGGTTTGAGCACTCCCCTCTTTCCTGAGAAGCGAGGGTGGAGTGATTCACTCCCAAAGACTCCGTTGCATTCTTGGGCTAAGCTACCATGCACGCAGTCTGTCTGTCACAGAGAGTGAATTGCTAAGAAAAAAACGCATCTTGCCCTCTAAATCTCGACATGTTCAGAGGATGGGACTCAGTCGGACTTCTCGCGGAAATGAGGTTCAACAGAAACGCTTGTCAGTGTGAACACTTTCTAAGATGTCTTAGTGTCGCTGTGAATGCCATGCTGCTAAGGACAATGCAGAGGATCTGTAGGCAATAAGGTTGCACCTCGTTGCTGGCATGGCTTCTCTGGTTAGTCCCTTTCCAAATGCAAAATGGACGCAGCGCCATAAACACCATTTAGCTTTTCTCTGATGAGCAAGGACCAGTCAATTCCCGTTGGCAACATCCTAGACATCAATTCCCCGTGTGTCCCGATACGGGCAGTCTCTGAAAAATGGAAGGAACATATGCCGATCCCAGGCTGTGCTCTGAAGTCTCTCTCTTTAAATAAGTGAACGGCATTAGATCCTTCATATGATTCTTTTACAAGAATATTGCTATTGATTTCAGAGAGGAAGAGAGACAGAGAAACATATCAATGATGAGAGAGAATCATTGATCGGCTGCCTCCTGCACACCCCTCACTGGGGATCGAGCCCACAACCTGGGCTTGTGCCCTGACTGGGAATTGAACTGTGACCTGCTGGTTTATAGCTTGATGCTCAACCACTGAGCCAGGCTGGCTGGGTCTTCATATGCCTTTTACCAGCTCCTGCAAGTGGAACATCAGCCTTATAGGAGATCTGGCCAAACAATTATTACATATTAGGGAATAAAGTCCAAATGAGAAAAAGACAACCTGTGAGCTGCCTTAACAGTTTAGCAAAAGATAGGGCTAATGCAGCGTAGTTACCCGTCTGGGCATCCGGTCAGCTACAGCAAAAGCAATTGTTCAAAGACCAGTTTTGGCCACTGACACCTCATAGGACAAGGTCCACCTCACAGGAAGATGGGCCTTTCCCTGTGAGGCCCAGATGGGCACAGAATGGCCTGCAGGCTATTTAGTGAGGATAAATATTTGGTTCTTCCAAAGCTACCTTCACGTTGAACGTTATTTCCTCCATGACGTACACGCGTTCAGGGAACGCTTTGGCCACCTCCTCCACGCTGTTGAAATATTGCACTGGCTCCTTTATATCTCGGTCCTGTTCCAGCAGCTTGAATTGGCCTGAAATACATGATAAACAGAAGAGAGGTGAGATGTTTACGGGGGACCGCTGTCCCCATGGTGACGGCATCCCCTTCCCCTACTCCCACTCTTCTTGTCAAAGGCATCTGATCATTATCATAAAAAAATAAAGTAAAAAAGACCACGGCAGGTTTTCTTAAACACCAGCTTGAAAACGAGCACAGACGTGTACTTTTTTCTTTGCTTATATTCAGAGTTCATTACCAGAGGACCAAACTGAATGGATGCTCACTTGCAATCTGACCTCAAAGTAAAAACTTACTCCGCGTTGCTCATTTTGTTTGTCACAGGAAGTCATGTTGTCATTTCGTTGTGATAACCCAGACACGTCATATTCTAAAACCAAGGCCGCGTGGCTTAGGGGGCTAATTTTTTAGACGAGTATCCCAAACATTCACAAGTAGCACCGAACTATCCTGTGGACCCTCAGCTCTCACAGGTTTCCCTGGTTTCAACTCCGCGTAGGCGATGTGGGGACCCCCGAGCCGCTATAACCGGGGATCTGCTGTGGACGGGCACGGAGCCTGTGCACAGAGGCTGGGGGGGTGCAGGGGGGTGCGTCTCCTTCTAACGAACGAGCACCTGCAGCCAAGTGGCTTCCTTCTTTTTTTTTTTAATATTTTTTATTGATTTCAGAGAGGAAGGGAGAAGAAGAGAGAGAGAAACATCAGTGATGAGAGAGAATCATTGATCCCTGCCTCCTGCACGCCCCCTACGTAACTCGAGCATGTGCCCTGACCGGGAATCAAACCGTGACCTCCTGGTTCACAGGTTGAAGCTCAACCACTGAGCCACACGGGCTGGGCTCTCTGTGACTTTTAACGTGCAGGGTTGGCAAACTAATTCTGTAAATATTTTAGGTTTTGTGGGCTAAACAGTCTCTGTCGCAACTACTCAATTCGCTTAGTTCTCGAAAGCTGCCGCCGACGATGTGTAAACACGGTGGACCAGCTGCGCACCGATCCAACTTTATTTACAGAAACAGGCAGCGGGTTGGATTTGGCCCTTGGGCCACACCCTTTGCTGACCTGTCCCTTGGAAGCAGTGGACAGTATGGATGACGGTGGGGACAAGCAGACAGACGTCAGAAGTGAAGACGACCAGGCCTCCACGCCAACACCCCTGAACAGTTATGCCGAAGTCTCGTGTAAGGCCCTTGAGACCACAAACTAAGCCGACCCTGTTTATCTGAGAATGGAAGTTTCCCCTTCAGTGGGAGTCTGACATCAAGTTTGAACTGTAAAGTGGGTTTTACAAGGAGAACCATGCAAACCTCCAGCAGACAGGAACACCCACCTTCTCTCCCCATAGTTTACAAGACCACCTTCCTAGCACCTTGCACTGAGCCCCTCTTCTTCTATAAAAGGCCACGCCACTCTCGGGTGAGTCCACGCGAGGCCCCCTGGGAGAGATGCTGAGCTACCGTGTCACCCTCTCCTCTGTGGCCAACAACGTCCGTCCAGCCTGGTGGACAATCCAGGCACTAAGAGCCAGCTCCCTGCCAGGATGTGAAATCAATGGACATAACACATTCCCACCCCCCCACACGAGGGAACTTATTTCTTAACAGACCATTTCATGGCCAGCAGAGGCTGTGCCACCAAAGAAAAGCACTTGGAGGCCGCTGGGACATCTGTTCTGAGCTGTCACCGCCACACTCCGCGCTCGGAGGGAGGAGGGCCTTGACTTTCAGCAGCGCTGAGGGTTTCAGAAAACGCCTCCACGGACAGCCGTCCCAGCTGCAGGACCCGGGCCCCAGGAGCGAACGCAACTCCACCGACAGGCCCCTCTAGTCCAGTTTAGATACAGCCAAGGTGGTATTTACAAAGCAAAGATCGGCATCCTCCTGTGCTGTGTTTCCGAAACTGTACTGCGGAATTCATCCGGGGGCAAGAAACAACCGTCATCCAGAAAACATCCCTGTGTGTGCGTCGCTCGGAATCACCACAGGGATTTCCCTCAACGTGGATGCACTCGACGTGAAGCGAAGGCCCAGTCCTGCTGGGGCATCTTGGTTCTCAGCTCCCGTCCGAGGCTGGCGGGCTACCCTGCAGCACATGCTTTTTTGCTTAGAAATAAAAGGTCACTTGTGAGGAGTGAGGCGTGGAAACTAGTTTTGCTAATGCAGAAGAAAGAGCAATGACGCCAAGGCACGGAGGAAGAACAGGGAGAGTCGGAGGAGGTCAAGTTCGGGTCCGGCAAGTTCAGGCCACTGGCTGGGAGGTTCCAGCCCCTGGTTCGTGGGAGGTAAGTTCCAGGCTGCGGCGAAGATGGGCTCTGTGACTTGTGCTTCCCTGGTTCCCATCCTCACTGGGATGAGCACAGTCTGCGGCCCACCTTCTCTTACAGCTACGGTTGTACTGCTCCCCGTCCCGTCCGCACAGTGTCCACTTGTGTGTAAATAAAAAAAAGCAAATGCTGCCCTAGCTGGTTTGGCTCAGTGGATAGAGCGTCAGCCTGTGGACTGAAGGGTCCCAGGTTCGATTCTGGCCAAGGGCACATGCCCGGGTTGTGGGCTTGATCCCCAGTAGGGGGCGTGCAGGAGGCAGCCAATCAATGATTCTCTCTCATCATTGATGTTTCTATCTCTCTCTCCTCCCTTCCTCTATGAAATCAATAAAGAAATATATTTTTAAAAAAAGCAAATGAGAGCCGAGGCCTTTAGGATCCACTTGTGGGCCCACGACTCAAGGGGACACCACTATTCCACTAGCATTTCCCTCCTTGTCGGGAGTGGGAAGACGCTGCGTAAACCAGCACGAATGAAGAAACAGAAGATGAAGTAGCAGCACTAGAAACGGCACCAGAACAGCACAGCAAGCTGAGCGTGGCCAACCCGGCGACGAAGAAGGAACGCGGGATGCTGGAACGCCACGACCAGGTCTGTGTTATTTAGTGGGATGCTCCCAGCCTGCCCACAAAGTAGGTGCTTATCAAACAGTGAACAGTGAATTCTTCTCACTTCTCTGTTCTTGGGACTCTCAGAGACAGGACAGCACCATTAACTGAGATGGTTCCGAGTCCACCGTGTAAATGAGATGCAACCTGGTTCGAAGAATGGAACCTTAAGACCACTGGGCCATTTCCAAATGGGAAGAAATGAACACTTCTCAAAAGTCATGGGAAACACAAAGCCGTTGAGCATTTTCAGAAAGCAAACAAACCCGAACAGGAACCTGCACTCATCCCCAAGGTTTACCTGGACACATACTCGTGTATGTCTATCTTTCTGTGTGCACGCAGGCTGCAGTGTCCGTGGGATCGGACTGCCAGCTAAGAGGTAAGCATCTTGTTATTGTAAAGGCACCGACCAACCACTGCCTTTGGAACGGCCTGTGCACACGCCTGCTTCCACCACCAATGGATGAAGGCTTGTCCGTGCTGGGGAGCCACTTAGCTGCCCTTTCTGGAGTCAGGGGAAGAGATGACTTGAGATGTGCCACTGCCAAACATGTCCGGTCCCAGAGGGTACAGAGGGGAAAGGAAGTCTCCTTCCAGTCTCCTCCCAAGCTCTCCTCACATCACAGCGGCAGCCCCCTGCTCCCTGCTCCCTCCGTGCAGACAGGGTCTTTGATACTATCTACCTGCACACATAATGCCGCTCTTTTAACAGCAAGCGGTGGCCTTCTGCGTAGTTCTTTGATCGTTCCATAAAAATTTGCTTCGTCTTTAAAGAGCTGCACGTACTCTCCATTGTGCAAACACCACACCGGATGTGACCAGCCCTCTGCGCACGGGCATCCAGGGCGGGTCCAGTCCTTGGCAGCCACAGTGATGCTGAAGTGAACATGCTGAGCGGTACCGAAGGGTTTGTGTACCCAGTGCAAGTACATTGGTGGGCAAGGCTCCATGTGGAATGGCTGGGCCAAAGGGTAAGTGCTTTTTTATTTGCCATAGCTATTGCCAAACTGATTTTTCTAGACGCTCTGCCCACTCATATTCCCACTACCAATGTGTTTCCTCATACCTTTCCTAACGCTTTAAAAAAAAAACGTCGCCCTAACCGGTTTGGCTCAGTGGATAGAGCGTCGGCCTGCGGACTCAAGGGGCCCAGGTTCGATTCCGGTCAAGGGCATGTACCTTGGTTGCGGGCACATACCCAGTAGGGAGTGTGTAGGAGGCAGCTGTTTCTAACTCTCTATCCCTCTCCCTTCCTCTCTGTAAAAAAATTTATAAAAAATATATTTAAAAAAATGTCATTGCCAATCTGCTGGGTGAAAAATAGTATCTCATTGGTGTTTTAATGGCATTTTTATGAAAACGGTAGATCTGATTTTTAAAAAATGAAGCAATTTATATTTTATATTCTGTGAATTTTCTGTTCATTTTCTTATTACCAACGTTTGAAATTTCTACTCGTCTTAAGCATAATTTAAAAATTAAAAACACAAACTTGAAATATTACAACACAGCGTCTCCCATTCTAAAATCTGACTCCCTCCATCACTTATCATCAGTTCCTAAAACTATGACTTGGTGGGGAGGAGGGCGAGTGGAAGTGGAATTGGGAGAAAAGAGAGAGAAAGAACAAAACTCAGCACAGAGCCTCAAAGCCTATGACCACAGAGAATCGGAATTGAAGCCAAAGAACAGAAAGAAATCATCAACCAAAATATAATGAATTTCATAATAATCATCTGTGGCATTTCTATTTATTTCTCCATCTGAGGCTATATAGAACAAGTGTCAGAATTTCAGTTCTGAAATTCTATCTTTGAACGTAACCAGACTAAACTGGATTCAAAATTAAATCATTCTGGGACACATATTCTAACCAGCCAAGCTACTTCACACCATGCAAATGGTTTCCTTATTTTTTGAAATTGGGAAAATGGAATTTTTCGTCACATCCAATTGGTTAGCCGCTTCTTCAGAATGATCAGAAAATTTCCGAGGCACAACGATCATAAATGCGATGGAACCTAAGAAAGGTTGCAGCTGTGAACACGGTCGCTAACATGTTACGGTGGGAATCCTGG